GACGAAACGAACCTCGCTCGCCCTCGACCTCGCCCAGCCACAATCCAAGATGATGCCCACTCACTACCTCGACAGTCTTATCATCGTGGGGAGACGAAACGAACCTCGCTCGCCCTCGACCTCGCCCAGCCACAATCCAAGACGATACCCACTCGCTACCTCGACGACCGGGCCAAAGACGACCCGGCAATTTTGAAAGGTACCTACTGTAAGCCCTCTCGATACTGTCCTTCTGCCCGGTCTTTACTGACAATGATCAGAGGTACAGCCTAAGAGGCCTTGGCTACTCTCGTCAGTGTCCCGACTGCTCCAGACATGTCAGTCTCGGCCGAGTTGCTTCAGAGAAGTTCGGAGTCTCCAGTTCGTGGTGACTGGACTGACTTGGATACACTGGAGAACTGTTACTGTTAGTTGCCTGAAGAGATCAAGTTTTGGGAACACATACCTGGCAAGGAGCCAAGGACACAATGGCGGAACAAGATAGGTTGAGGGAAAAGTGGGAGGAACAGGTCAAGTCATTGGATCATACGTTTTTATTTAGTCTAGGAAGCTGCGGGCACAACAATAACGTGGGCGATTCCAGAAAAAAGTGGTGTTTACACCTTGTTTGCTTCATCCTTTTTGAAATGTATGTACGGTGCTAATTGCTCTTGATTAGTCATCAACCCATCACGTGCTTTCGCGTCTCCTCCAACACACGTTGCGTCATCAGGCATGAAAGGAACCGCGCAAAGAAGCTTACAAAGACAACGACAATCAATCAGCATCACGCCTGTTTGCCTGTCTTGTCATCGCTGGACTTTGTCACACCAACTCCATCTGCATCAATTGCTTCAACATTTGCTTCAACTTTGACTAATGGCAGGTCGAAAACGAAATGCGCCTGGTGCGACAACCACCAGCACCCCCCGAACTACTCGCGCCAGCACAGCGTCGCGAAGAGCGGCGTCAGCCCGTACCGCCGTTCCCGATGTGTATCGAGAGATGGTCTCCGAAGCGCGGCGCATGGTTGTTACGGAAGATGCCCCGGAGGCTACGACGCCAGAGAGACCACTGAAACGAAGAAGGCCTGGAGAGAGACCTACGCCAAAGGCCGAGACGAAGCCAACAATAGTACCAGAACCTACCAAGATGGACTTTGGTGACGATGACGATGACGATGACGACCAAGACCTCGAGTTTGAAGATGTGGAGTTGCCACAGCCCACGGTACAGACCATCACTAGAGACTCGGACGACGAAGACGATGAAGAGCTGGAGCTGGAGGACATCGCATTCGACTCCCAAGGCGGATTTTCCTCGGCTATAGCAGGCGAAGTTCAGCTGGACCTGAACTTGAGCGCCCAGAAAGCCGCAATGGCACCCAGTCGAAAAGCGATCGAACGCCGAAAAGCATTGAGCAAATCCGAGAAAGAAATACGGAGGGAGATACACAAGGTCCATCTCCTTTGTCTCCTTGCGCATGTCGAACGGAGGAATAAATGGTGTAACAGCCCCAAGGTCCAGGAAGCTCTGAGACCGCTCTTGACAGAAAAAATTCGAAAGTCGTTGATACCCAGGGCGAGTTTAAACCAGTATGGTCGAACAGAGTCCCTCAAGGCGGGATTGCAGGAAACGAGCACCATGTTTAAGACCAAGTTCCAGATTACGGAGCGGGGATTACGGAGAGCGTTGTGGGCGGAGAACGACGAGCAGTTGAAAAATGTAGATGACTACCTATTTACTTTCTCTTTTCTGTGGTTGAGCCGCTGGCTAATACGCCTTTCTCGTGCAGTACGAACTCCCAGATGACCTCGAAACCGTGCGATCCAAACACGACTTCCTTAAAGCCGCCAAATCGCTTTCCGGCTCTCGTGATGTTGGAGCCCAACTCTTCTGTGCACTACTTCGTTCCATAGGCGTTCAGGCCCGGCTCGTGTGCTCTCTCCAACCGCTCGCCTGTGTCCCCGGGGCTCCTACAATGCCCAAACAATCAAAAACGAAATCTCTGAATGCCTCAAAGGGCCCATCAGCGGTCGATCGTTATGCCGCCGCAATGTCCAAATACGAAAACACCACCGTCACTCCAGATCCAACAAAGCCATCATTTCTCTCGTCAGCCCGAAGTCGACTCGGACACCCAAACGCAACAGCCTACAATGTCCCGTCCATGACCGCTCCCCCACCAGCAGCCTCCTCCCCTTCCAAAGCCCCCTCCAAACCAAAGACAATAAAAGGCGAATCCGCCTACCCCATCTACTGGGTCGAAGTCCTCGACGTCGCCCAACAAAAATGGCACCCCGTCGACCCCCTCGTAACCTGTTCTCAATGGCGCCCGCGCGCCCTCGAGCCGCCAGCCTCTGACAAAGAAAACGCTCTCGTGTACGCCATCGCCTTTGACGCCGACGGTTTTGCCCGGGACGTCACCCGCCGTTACGCAAAAGCGTACAACTCCAAGACCAAGCGGCAGCGCATCGACGGACCTGTTTCCCCCCTTGTCCCCTCATCCGGGAGCAACACAGGCGAGCGCTGGCTTCGCCACGTTTTCCTGAGGAACTACACTGCGCCCGATTTCCCGACCGATCTGGACCAGATTGAATTGCAAGAGCTCGCGGTGCTGGAGGGCGCGGAGCCGATGCCGAGGAATGTGGCAGATTTCAAGGATCACCCCGTTTACGCGCTCGAGAGACACTTGCGGAGAAACGAAGTGCTTGTGCCAGGGGCGCAGTCGACGGGGACTGTCTCGGCCGGGTCGAAAGCGCCCGTTGAGCGGATCTACCGCCGCAAGGACGTAGTCGTGGCTCGGTCACGGGAGAAATGGTTCCGTCTTGGACGGCTTGTGAAAGCTGGTGAAGAGCCGGTGAAGGTCCTCCCACCTAAGAGGAAGAGAACTTCCAAGTTTGGTGGGGAAAGGATCTCCTCCCCTTCCCGTGCCTTCTCAGAAGATGAAGATGAAGACGAAGATGGGGAAGACGGAGTTGGGGACTTGTTTGGAGATTATTCCCTAGCCAAAGCGGGCGGTATACCGCTGTACACACCGCAGCAAACAGATCTTTACGTCCCCCCACCCGTTTCAGCCAAGGGGAAGATACCGCGAAACAAGTTTGGGAATGTAGAGGTTTACGTCCCCTCCATGGTTCCCCGTGGCGGGGCGCACATCCCACACGAAAGAGCGGCGCAGGCGGCGCATATAATTGGAGTAGACTATGCGCCGGCGTTGACGGGGTTTGAGTGGAAGGGGAGAAAGGGAACGGCGAGGATATTGGGGGTGGTGGTTCCCGAGGGCACAGCGGAGGCGGTGAGGGCCGTGGTTCAAGGGTTGGTGGATATGGAAGAGGAGGAGAGGGAGGAGAGAAGACGGGTGGAGGTTTGGAGGATGTGGAGGGTTATGTTGAGGGGTCTGAGGATTAGGGAGAGGGTGTTTGGTAATGTAGAAGAAGCGGAGGAGGAGGGAGAAGATGATGGGGAAGAGAGGGTGGATGAAGAGGAGGGTGGAGGAAAAAAGAAGGATAAGGGGAAGGCAAAGGCGAAGGCCAAGGAGACGGAGGAGGAGCAGTTTGATAGGGAGATGGCGGATGCGCCTAGTGACGTGTCGGAGGAGTTTTATATGGATATGGATGATGAAGGTGAAGGAGGTGGTGGGTTTTTGATTGAGTAGGCAGATTTTGTATCAACTCTGAGCTGTAAGTTGCTCTCCTGTCCAGCTCCATCAGGGAAGTCAACGCGGATAAATGGTTCATTAAGTTCATATTTTGATCGCTACACCGCCCTATCCTACATCCTCACGTATCTTGCCTCTTGTGTCCATTCCTCTTTATCACCATTCCTTACGTACATCCAATCAATACCTCATCCCAATCCGGTCCCCGCTCCTCCTCCTCCTCCTCTTTCCGCATTCTCCCCATCATGTATGTCCCTTCATTGCCTGTGCGTGTACGGTTGGCTGGCCCTGAAAAGGCCTGATTTACCTATACCCACCAACCTCTGACGGGTACGTTTCTTCTCCCATCTTACTCCACTCTCGTCCTTAACTAGCTTTTCAGGAGCATCATCATCCTCAACTCGCTCTTTTCTCCATGACTCGTCCAACTCTCTCTCTGGATTCTTGTTGCCGCTGTTGTTGTTGTTGTTGTTGTTGTTGTTGTTGTTGTTGTTGTTGTTATGGCTGTAGTCGTTTTTGGCTTCTACGTGGGCGCTGCTGTTATCTTTTGTTCCTGCTGCACGCAGGGCGCTGTGGTTGGCTGCTTTGGATTCTTCCCAACAGTCCAGACAGAGACTCCAATGCCGACGGACTATGTTCATCTGGTGGCTGCTTGCGTTGATGCCCGCGCAGAGTGGGGTTTTGTCAGGAGTGAGTTTGAAGTAATTGGTGCATAAGTTCATGCCGGCGAAGATGCTGTGGCCGCAGCGGTAGGTTTCGATGTTGTTTCCGCACATTGTCGTCTTTTTGTCGCTGATGGTGGGAGAGGATAATGGTATGGAGTACGTCTGCGTACCTACATGGTGATATGTCCCGACTCAGTCATGATATACCTCTTTCGCATTGTTGCTGAATATGACTCTTCGTGGTTTGTTGTGTTTGTTACGTACATGTCAGTTTGCTAAAGCATCAGAGTTCTCCTCTCCGCTCAGCACAAACACCTTGCCTTCTTCTTCTTCTCCCTTGCGACAGTTCATTGCACCAGGCGATGGTTATCTATGTTCCTTTGCCCCTTTCCAATAGACTGTCTCTCCTGGAGGTATTTTACTTATCCATCCTTCCGCCTTCAATAATTTCTCGTGATGGTCCAGCATTACTAATACACTCTCACAAGTTCCAAACGGGTACCAGCCAGTATTTTCCACCTCATTCATTTCCAATCAAAAGCGCAATCATCGCAGCTGCATCCTCGTCGGCCCACTCCTCGTTTGCGTCGTTCTCGTGCCCGTACTTCTTCTGCTCGGCCATCTCATGCTCGTCTATCTCATGCTCGTCTATCTAATGCTCGTTTATCTCTTGGTCTTCTTCATCATCACTACCATCCTCCTCCTCCTCCTCTTGTTCTTTTTTCTTCTTCTTTTTCTTCTTTTTCTTCTTTTTCTTCTTCATTATCATCATCTTCATTATCACCATCATCTTCGTCACCATCATCATCGCTAGTACCATCATCATCGCTAGTACCATCATCATCACTAGTACCATCATCATCACTAGTACCATCATCATCATCATCCTCATCCTCATATTCCTTCTCTCCTTCCAGCCTTCTCCTCTTCCTCCTTTCCTCTTCTTCATTCACTTCCTTCGCCCAACTCGCTCTTTTCTTTGTCTCGGTAGCCGATGAGGTATTTATCTTCTCGTCCTCTCCGTCGCCGTTCTTTTCATTACCCTTGTCCTCGCCCTCACCCTCGTCCTGGTTCTGCCCTTGCTCTCCTCGAACTCCCGCCATCATCTTCTCCACCTTCTTCCTCGCTCTCTCCATTCTTCTGTTGCGTAGCACTGCATCCCTATGTTCTTTCTCCTTTCTCATTATATCCTCCTTCGCTTTATTTTTCACTTCCTGTTCTGCCCTGAATTCCTCTGCTTCCTTCTTCATCGCCGCAGCTCTCTCCCGTGCCTCTTTCAAGTATGGATCGTTTTCGGGTAGTCTGGCGTTGGGGTTGGGTTGATGGGTGGCAGCGCGGCAGCCTTCGTAGGGCGCAGGCACGAGGGGAAGGGTATTGTTCATTCCTTTACTCGGATCGGAGCCGAGACATGTTGTTGGGAAGCCTTTGCACAAGTTGACACTGGCAATTCCTTTGTGACCGCATGGGGCGTGCACCTGGTAGATATTTCCACACATTCTTTTGTGTTTTTGCTCGTCTTGGATGCTGGGAACGGATACTGGAAATGGATGCTGCGTTCTAAACTTTGATATTTTCGACGGATGTAGTCAGCTGTGAAGACCGTGACGATTAAGGAAGATGAAGTCGATCACACATTCTGTAGGACCATGCATTTGTTAATCTCGGAACATTTATCCATGTGGATTGATCCAAAAAAGATAGTCACGACATGTATTGGTGGTATGTACTACGTGATGCTTTCAGGCCGTGTGTAATGTTTTTTTAGCGGACGGGATTTCGGAGGGACACGGCGAATGGAACAGTCTTCTATCCAGGGTTGCTTTTCTCGTCGAACTTGCCGAGTTAATGTTCTCACTATGCCAAAGTTTCTAGTGGTTCCTTCCTCTTCCCTCGAACAAGCCGTAACTTCTGGTCGAGGAGCCATGTCGTATGTCAAACACAATAAGTAAAGACCAATTCGTCCACAATCGAACAATTGAAAGCAGAAAGGATTTCCATTACAGCTGTGGTAGCCATCTGACTAGTTTCGTTTCCCCTATTATCAGTGTATTTCTCCAGGAAATACCTCCCTATCCAACCTTTTGTCCTAGAATAACAAGTTCCGGATATGGTCCAGCCATTACATCCATCCTAAACCTTCCTTCCAACATCCTCCCACACACTCCCTCCAAGTCACGATGATACTTCCTTCCCAAATACCGCCATCGTGGTACTCAGACAACCCAAACTCAACTGAACTTCAAAAAATCAAGTTTTGCCGAGAAAAGCCCATCCATCAAGACCACCACGGGAAACCTCCCAATAGATAGGTAGCAATCATCCCCTCCCACCTCCACCTCAACCTGCACCTCTATATTTCTCGTTGAACCCCTCCATGGCTTTTTTACTATCCTCCCTATCTTTGCAATCCTGACACTTTCCCGGAACATCCTGGTACTCGGCCGACTTGGCGCCAAAGCAGGTCGGATTCGTCACGCCCGGCTTCAAGACCTAGTTGTCGCAGGTCTTGATATGGCTGAACTCTGTGTGGGTGCAGGCCCATTTTCTGTGAACGTCGTAACACATCTTTTTAGGGGGGTCTGGTGCGCTGGTACGCAACGAACTGGGCCTTTTGGATTGTATGTAGGTATGGATATGTGCTAGGTAGGTATGGTATGGCATGGATCAATTGGGTCGGTTGGATGGATGCTGGGCGACGGACACGGTTGTTGTGCGAGTGTTCGTGAGTGTCTGGTCGCAAAGATACGTAGTCGTAGGTAAGTATGGGAACTATTGTCCTGCAAGCTGCGAATATGTGAGCTTCTCACTCATCATCTTGTTTCAAGGAGAACAGACAGGCTAGTCGCTACCTTACTTACAGTATGGCTGCTTGATCAAATGTGTGCTTCGTGGTACTGAAAAGCTGTGTTTGAGGGATGTGTAATTCCAGCTTTGAAGCCAGCAATGCCGTCGTCTTATGTGCTTTTTCCTCTCCGACGAACGTCAGTCCTTCCCAACTTTCCTGTCTTGGGGCGCTTCAACTTCAACCTTTGGACTTGTGGCCAACTGCGCTTGCCAATATCCTTTCGGGTCGTCTTTTGATATCTGTACATGACGAAATCCCAGACAGGACGCGGCGAATGAAGCGGTCTTGTACCTCTTTTTACTCTCATCGTCAAGGTTGCCTGATTGACGTTCTCACTACGCGATAATTTTCAGTGATTCCTCCCTCTTCAACAAGCTGTGTCTTCTACTTGAGAAGCCATGCTCAACGCCCATAAGCTTGTAGCTAATCGCCGGCGTGCCACTCTCTAGATCGGAAGATGCAAAATTGTGTTAAACCAGTTACTGCCGTACGTAAGTTTATATTTAAAGATTTACCATATCACTTCGTCCACTGACGAACAGGCTAAAGCGGCAAAATTTTATTGCAACCTGGTGATGGTTATGTAGCTACTTTCTTTTCCCTAACTACCCATGCATTTCTCCAGGAAATAGCTTTGCTACCTCTCCATCCTTCCGTCCTGACGTAACGAGATGCTGTGATGGTCAACCCATTAAAACTTTCCCCAAGTCACCAAAGTGATACCAGCCACAATCCCTCACTTTCTAACCCAGATCCTGGAGCGCCGAGTGCTGATGGCAGCCCACCTGGTTGCCCTTATAGCTTCAGCATTTATGACGATACAAGTGCAGCCATTGTAGCCGTTTCGAATCGTCAAACCCACCTACCTAGGGTAGGTTGCCGAAACCCCTTCAGTCCTTAAAACGTCGTGAACTATTTCATCAAAGCGTCGTCGTTATCCTCCTCATCGTCGTTATCCTCCTCCTCCTCGTTTTCCTTGTCCTCGCCGTCGTCGACCCGCTGCCTCTCCTCCTCTATTCATATTTCTCTTCTTCGCCTTTCTCTTTATCTCCGCCCCCTCTCTCTTCTCCTCATTGTCGTCTTCCTCGTTTTTGTCTTCCTCCTCTTCGTCGTCATCGACCGCTGCCTCTCCTCCTCCTTTTCTAATCTTTCTCCTCTTCGCCCATCTCTTCACCTCCGCTCTCCTCCTCTTCCTCTCGGCCCTGGCGGCCTTTTCAGCGTCTTTCTGTCTCTGCAGCTCAGCAAGCTCCGCCTCCTTTGCCTTTCTCTTCTCCTCTTGCTCCTCCCTAAACTCCCTTTCCATTTTCTCTCTTTCCGCCTTATCCTCGCGGTCCTGCCTCTTGTACGGATCGTTCTCGTCCAATCTGGCGTCGGGGTTGGGGTTGTGGATTTCGCGCTCGCAGTCGGCGCAGTTTCCTTCCACTTGTCCCGCCTCCGTCCAATCCATCGGATTCCCCTCCGCCTCCTTGGGTCCCAAGCATGTATCCCCAAAAGCTTTACAAGGATTGAATCCGACCTTCAACTTGTGGCCGCATCCCTTGTACTTCTGGAAGACATGTCCACACATTGTGTGCTTTTTTTCTGGGCTTGCTTGGATGGTGCGCTTGGTGGATGCGGTGTTTGGGATAATACCTATGGCTTTCGATGGATCTGGTGACCATTGGGGAGGAACCGACAGTCGAAGATACCTACTGATGGATCATAAAACTCGTTAGCCTTGGCTCATTTTTCTGTGATGGTGGATCCGAAAGTACCTACTCACGGCAAGTGTTTCTGGTGATTTCTTATGCTTCCCGCCGGTGCGCCTATGTCTGTCTAGAACACCAATTCGAAAAGATCGCAGCGTACCGATCGGTCTTATAAGCATTTTATTTCCTTGCTGAGCTTTCAGACTCGATGTTCTGACATCGGGCAATCCGACTTGGTGTTATTGACTGAGAGAGTGAAAAGGATGAAGTGCGTTGGTAATCGTAATAACGACTGCCGCGTTCGAAGCTGAATGTTGAGCAGAGGGGTCATTACCCGGTTGATAATCCGAATCAAAGAACTCGCTTGCTTGCGAAGGAATCGAGGGGGTTGTGAGATGGGAGGATCCGGGTCACGTCGTTGCATCTGACTCGATTTCTCTGGACGTACCTTTCATCATATCGAAAGAATCGGAATTCCCTCCTTTCCCCCTTTTCCCCTTTCCCTCTTCCCCTCCTTCCTTTTGTACACGCCCGGAAGGAGCAGCCCAAACTCATCGCACCTGACGCATTTACCTGCTGCTCTTTCCTTGACTCTCCTTCAGTTGTATTCCCCTACTCCTTTCTTCGTCTCCTTGGATATCCAATTGACTTCAACCTGTTCCTGGGCTTCCTCGATAGTCCTCCTACCTTCGCACCTCCAAAATCGGATACGTCAAACGAGAGCCTGTATCTCACACAATAAACCCATTTTCACGGGCAGAACATCACGCTGAACAAATTTGATTTGAGGGGAATGGCCTAGGATTACTTTGGCATTTCTAGGCAAACTTCCCAAATCAACATCACCACGACGAAACCAGGACACTGCGTAAATGCAGGTTCCACACGCACGTATTTCTGTCATTATGCGACCTAAACGGCATATAATATCTGGTATCGTATCGTACAACATTCCGTCCACAATTCAAGCAAACGCTCCGACAATGGACATGCCGGCAGCTGCAACATACATATGTAAGCTTCTCTCCGCAGACAACCACAACAAATGGAGTAAGGGGCACAAGGGGGAGTACTCACCGCCGAGAAGAACAAAGATAAACGCACTGATCTTGTCCTTCTTGGTCATGATCTTCTGCGCCTCCTCAGACAAGAAGTCCTCAGCTAGAAGATCGACCAAAGCAGCGTAAAGGAGGAGACCGGAGGAGCTGTTTTTTTTTTCGTTTTACATCATTAGCATCCGACCCCCCATTTCTCGGTGGTCTCTCGTCTTTTTCGATGGGGGTAAAAAAACAAGAACAACAACATCAAAAATACTCACATAGCATTGAACACTCCCACGATGATCAATCCGAACGCGCTGTTGGGATCATACGAGCTCCTGGCCAACAGTCCGATAGCCTGGCCGATGGGAGCAGTAGTACCGAACGCCACCACGAGGAGCCAAGGGCGGGGACTTCCCTGACGGTAGGGGACAGCAGCGATACGGGAACCGAGACCAAGACCCTCAAACATCTGGTGGAACAGGATAGCGATCAAGAGGATGGTGAAACCTTCGATGGTGATGCTAACCGTCATGCCGACGAAGACAGAATGGAACAGGATACCGCCCTCAAGAAGGGTGATGTTGAGGGACATCTTCTTGTAGACCAAGGGGTGGACAGGTTCGCCGGTCTCGACGTCGCGGTAGGGGGAGTCCGCGAGGGAAGCGGGGATGAGGGACTTGCGGTCTTCAACATGGGAGCTGGAGGAGTCGGCTTCGGTGAGGAAAGCTTGTTGCCGGTTGGCAGTGGCCTTGACCATGTTGACCAGCTCCAGACGCTGGCGGACGTATTGCTCGTAGAACACGATGAACCAAGGGGGCATTTCGGACCTAAGGCTGAGTTGTTCATAATGATCATCATTGGAATCATTAGCAAATGGGTTCCTAGTAGGGGCTTGTGTGTACGCCTTGCGGCGAACTTTCTCTGCGTACAGTTCCTGGGCCATCATCTTCTCGTAGTCGATATCCTCGGCAGAAGACTCAAAGAGGGTATCGTCTGTGTTGGTCCTACGGTGCTGTGGCCGAGCGGCACCGGGACCGTGAGCCTGGGCAGCGGCGAGAGCATTGCCGCCGTGACTGTGGTTGTCAAATCCGGTGGGACCTCCGTGGGAATGGCCTCCGGTCTTGCTGTTGAGCCACATCTCGATGACGAACAGGATAAACATGGAGCCCATCATGATGACGCCTGGCATGGCCGGATATTGGGTCGTGAACAGATCCGGAAGGCATGGGTCCATCAGGTTACCAAAGGCCGTTGGGAGTAGCTGTGAGTTTGTAGGTCAATTTAGTCATAGTTATTCTTCTCTGTTCATATCTTGGTATAAGTGGTATGCAAGTGACTTACATGTACAAAGGCGGTCGCGATCAAGACGCCAGTTCCAAAGTGTTTGCACATAAAGAAGACCTTCGTTGGCACCTTCACCCAAGACACTTTCTTGGCCACGACTGGAAATCCAGCTCCGAGGATGGAGAACAGCAAGACCAAAACTGTTTAACGTCATCAGTACAAATCTCTTTTGATCATCATGGCCTATGGCTCCCACCGTGTTAAAACTTACACAACCCCGCAACGTGAAGACCGAGATCGTACTCGCCGACTTCTTCGCCGCCACCACACTGTGGCTTTCCGCTGTTCATAATGTTCATCCCGGAATCCGGAGCCGAGCTCGTCTGTGGCGAAGACATTTTTGATATGGAAAAGGCACCTGGCCCTGTGTTAAGAAAAACAAAAAGAAACAAACAAGCAAGCAAACAAGAGACAGTGAGAGAACGAAGTGAATGCGACTCCGCCCAGCGGGTGCCTAAAAGAAGGGAAGAAACAAAGGGATAGCAACCGCCAAAGACTCCAGTGCGTAGGAGTGGATGGAAAGAAAAGGGGAAAAGAGTAGAAAAGGAAACAAGTGAGCGAAGGAGAGAATGGAAATGGCACAGCCAGTATAAGTCCTCCTGAGGACAGTCAACTCTTACAGAATAACGCCACTACACAACGGAAGAGCCAAGAAAACCAAACGCCCTAGGCAAAGCTTAGGAGAAGATTCTTTCTTATAGCATGACTCTCTCACGGTCATTCCGAGACGGGTACTACCAGGTAGGAGCTACCGCGAGTCGTGCAAGGACAGGTGACGAATCTGGATCGCCGTCAACTCGAATCCAGGATCTGGTGAGATCTGTAGGAAGGGGAAAGCTTGTTGGCAACAAGATTTGATCCATTTGGAGAGCCTCCACTCGTTGACGAGTATCATCTTCATCATGATCTGTATCTTCGGTTTCTTACATCCCCATGGCCCTTCTTTCGCTGGTATTCAGTGAACTGTCGGCGAACCGCCGAGTGTAATTCTGCGTCACAACAGGCAAGTATTGGCGGACTTCCTAGTAACCTCCAGACAATATTAGCGGTTTCTGGTGTTTGCATGATCTTCAAAGCTTCATAATAAGCTTCAAGTGATCTTGGCGAGACCCGTGAGATCTCTTGGGTAGTCTTCGATGTCTGTGAATAAGCTTTCTTACGCTTAAGCGAACCAGGGGCCTTATAGAAGCGCATAATGGCTTCAAGAAGGTACTATACCCTTGGTGTCAGCTCTGAATCTGTTTAAACATGTGGATGTCGGCTTGTGTCGACCCTTGTGACCACATTCTACATTGAGCAATGGCTGTAGGCGCCAACCTCAAAAGGGGTTTCAAGGCGTCGAAAACGATACACCGTGGGTGAAACAGACCCACCTGACTGGTGTAGCAGACATCTTCGGCGAGATCTGCCGACAGTCACCTTGCGATTGCGGACATCCAGGCGCATTCTCTCGACTTCGAGGCAATGTCAACAATGAGCAGGGGTGGTTGTCGGTTGCAGCAGGGATCTCGAAGGCCGTGCTTCAATCGTGGGGAAGTAGAAGTTTAAACAAACGACGGGGCTGGAGTAACATCGAAAAACATATCGCTGAAGCGAGTAAAGATTCGCGGTGTCGCTTAAAGACAGAGGCGGCCCTGTTCCAGGATTGAAGATGTGTTCGTTGGTTGTGACCCTTGGCCTTTTGTGGTCGTTGTGCAATTCTGTGACATCTTGGCGTCCCTGGACCGTTGATCGCACAATAATGTGTAACACTTGAATGCGGCTCTCTTCTTTCCGGTCTAACCAAACAACGATACCCATTGTAATGCCAAGGGTTTTGCTTGTTTCTGTACCAGACTTCAACGGCCGCTTTGGCCCCTGACGTTATCAGGACGTCTTCAGGCCCAACTACCCCCAAATGCATGGAAGTCGCCTCGGAACGTCTAGAAACCACATATGGAGGTCTGTGCCAACGGGAGAACGTTCATCTCAACACCACCCCAGCCATCCAAGCTTTCTGTTGTAGATAGGCGAACCGTAAACAGCCAAGCTTCCTCTTTGTGTCGAAGGTTCGATCCTTATTATAGCTGCATGCATGGGTTGTAATTGGACGGTAGGATGGTCTTATGGAGGTTCTCGCAGCTGAAAAGTTGGTAGCATGCTGAATATTTGGATGAGGAGTGACGAGTTGGGTCCTAGAGGCTACTCCTAGATTCCTCCTTAGGGAGGTGAGGGTTGCTCATAGTGTATAGTGTGGTAGCATTTGTCGACGAGGGCGATTGACCTAAGAAGATTGCATTGTTGAAGCTTGTATATTAGCCTGGCTGTTCGCTGCGTTTGAAGCTCTCGACAATCCTTTCCCACATCAGTGGCCGGTTACAGTTGCCCTCTTCGAAGTTTTCCAAAACCCCAACCGCCTTTCTCAATGTCTGATGCCGAGTCTTCGGGCCCTCGACGAGCACCAGGTAGGTTGAGGTGACTCTTGCGTGCTGGCCGTTCAAGAGACTAACACTGGACAACAGTTCCTGCTGCACAGGGTACCCCAGTCGCACTGGCTGCGACGGGCCCTTCGCCGCCAGTGGCGTCTGATCTTGTTCAGAACAGCGCCGTGGCTATCGGTGATGCTCTCGGGACGGACAAGGACCAGGGGGTAACCTCAACGCTCCCTACCCGGCAGGACAGCACGACATCTGGCTTTGACTCGGCGGATCCGATGAACTTTGGACGTCATCGGCGAGAGAACATCAGCACTAAGCAGATGAAAGTTGAGCATCCTGAGGGAAACAAGAGAAAGCTGAAGAAGTACTACAGTCGGCAGAATAAGCTGATTGACCAGTTCTTGGGAGCCGAGGATGAAGAGCGCAACACGGTGGAAGAAGATGCGCGGTATAAGCCAAAGATCAAGTTTGCGGTGAACGCATCGTTCGCCGTCAACTTTTGTCTCTTTGTCATCCAGATGTACGCGGCTATATCGACGGGATCGCTTTCTGTACGTTTTACTCTGCGTCGTGGACGTGGCCACTGTTGTTAACGAGTTTTCAGCTGTTTGCAACTGCGGCGGATGCGTTTATGGATCTGGTATCGTCCTTTGTGATGCTTATCACATCCAGACTTGCGGCGCGACCGAGCATCTACAAGTACCCAGTAGTAAGTGTTGGCATGAACATGACAGCATATTAGAAGCTCACCAAGTATAGGGACGAAAAAGGATTGAGACGCTGGGCATCATCCTGTTTTGCGCACTGATGACCACTGTCTCGATCCAGCTTCTAGTAGGTCTTTTTTGTTCCACGGCTGTCGATTGTAGCTGCTAATGGTCGACAGATCGAATCTGCGCGTAACTTGGGCTCAGGAGGAGAGCATGTATCAGAGGGTCTCCATATCATTCCTCTCGTCTTTGTTGGTGTTGCCAGTCAGTACTATTCGCCAAAGCCAAGGAGATGGAGACACTAACACAATGACAGTCTTCGCCAAGGGCAGCTTGATGGTCTACTGCCTCTTCTACCGGAGATTCCCAACAGTTCACGTCTTTTTCGTCGACCACCGAAACGACATTGCGGTGAACATCTTTGGGTTGGTGATGTCGATTGCGGGTGACAAGTTTGTGTGGTACCTCGACCCCATCGGTGCCATCCTCATTGCCCTCCTGATTCTCTTTTCCTGGGCTTCGAATGCCTTTGAGCATGTCTGGCTTCTGGTTGGAAAGTCAGCGCCCAAGGAGTTCCTTGCGAAGCTCATCTATATGACCATGACACACGACGATAGGATCGTCAAGGTAGACACGGTGAGTAAATGCCGAATGTCCCCCTGGTGAACCTTGTCAATGCTGACAGTGAGAACAGTGCCGGGCATACCATGCTGGACAGCATTACTATGTCGAGCTAGACATAGTAATGGACAAAGACACTCCCTTGAGAATCTCCCATGATGTTGGACAGACGCTGCAGCGGAAACTTGAAGGGTTGGCGCTGGTCGAGAGAGCATTTGTCCATGTCGACTATGAGCACGCCCACAATGTCCACGAAGAACACAAGCCGCTGTACGAGAAGCCGGCGCCCAAGAGGAGTCTCAAGGACATGCTCTTGTTCAGGAAACCCGCCATGGAGCAAGGAGAGCCAAATGCGTCAATCGGGCAATGACGTGGGGGGAAAGTCCAGATAGTAGATAAATAGGTGTATTCATGACAATATATTTCCAAGTAGGTGATGTCTTCAGCCTCAGCACAGTCTTCTGACAAAGGTGATGAAAGGTGGAAAGAGACAGCCGGTGCTCCCAGTCGGTTGTCGCAGAGGAATTCGTAATGCCAAGAGGAAAACTCACGAATTGCGGGAGCATCCCCGCTCACTTGACAAATTGGAATCGAAAAGCCGTGGAAGTTGGAAAGTGCAGAGTTTTCATGCCTGGAGACGTTGAAGTTGAAGAAGGAAAGTGCGAGTTGTCGTTGCACAGTTGGAAGCTGCATGTTGCTGCCGTAACAGTTACACGCAATAGTTACCTAATACGGTAAGTTACCAGGACTCCTCCTAGAGAGATGTAATTACACAAAAAAGGAGCTTGGGCCAAGTGGTGCAGTTGCACAAGTGGGCTGATTTTTGCTTTGTAATCGATTGGCCCGCGCATCCGGCAGGCATGGAGCGCAGTTCATCCCGTCCAGCAGCCGGTACCTGAATAAGTTCAACTCCACCGGGACTTCGCGGGAGGTCGACCTTCACTTTTGAGAGAGAGAGAGTCCATCCGACCACAAGCTACCTATTTTTTGGCTTGCCATTGTCGGCTCAACTTGGTCGTCATGGCCTTTTTTCAGCTTGGGCTACGCCGGGCAGCCATTCAGCTGTCCAGGCCATCCGTCTTTTGCACCAGAGCTACCTTCAATGTCTCTCAGCAACAGAACATCACCAAGCTTGCGACTTCTGCTTCATCCATCTTGAAGCTCGTGAGCCAGGCTCGTCAGACCCAATCCCGGAACTATGCCACCCAGAAACTCGAAGAATCTCCCCTCAGCAAGCTCGCCTCCGATATTGCTAAGCCCGTCCCGTCCTCGTCCTCGTCCTCTGATAAGTCTGAGAAAAAGTCCAGCTTCCCGGAAACCAGCTCGAAATCTGTCGCCTACTGGCTCCTCGCCAGCGCTGCTTCTGTCTTTGGTATCGTCGTCTTTGGTGGTCTGACCCGCTTGACCGAGTCTGGGTACGTGACAACATGTCTCTATGCCTCGTCAGCCTGACACAGTCACTAACACGTTCCACAGCCTGAGTATCACGGAATGGAGACCCGTCACTGGTTCCCTCTGGCCTGGCTCCCAGGAGGAGTGGGAGTCCGAGTTTGAAAAGTACCGCGCCTCTCCCGAGTTCAAGATGCTCAACTCGAGCATGACCCTCCCCGAGTTCAAGCAGATCTACTTCATGGAGTGGACTCATCGTCTCTGGGGCCGCTTCATCGGCATGTCCTTCGTCCTCCCCACCATCTACTTCATTGCTCGTCGCCGCGTCACCCCTCGCATGGCTTGCACTCTTGTTGGCATCTCGGCTCTCATCGGCTTCCAGGGCTTCATTGGCTGGTGGATGGTCAAGTCCGGTCTCAAGGATGACCTCTTTGCTCCCGGCTCCCACCCCCGTGTCAGCCAGTACCGTCTCGCCGCCCATCTTGCTACCGCTTTCGTCTGCTACTCCTGGATGCTTCTTGCCGGTCTCAGCATTCTCCGCACTCACAAGGCCATCAAGTTCCCCGAGCAGGCCGTCAAGAACTTCACTGCTCTCCAGTCGCCTGCCCTTAGAGTCCTCCGCGGTTCCGTTGCTGCCCTCACCGTGCTCATCTTCACCACTGTTCTCTCGGGCGCCCTCGTTGCTGGTCTCGACGCCGGTCTCATTTACAACGAGTTCCCTATGATGGGCAACGGCCTGGCTCCCCCCAAGTCC